TAAATAAATAAATAAATAAATAAATAAATAAATAAATAAAATAAAATAAAATGGGCTTCAACAATAGATGCTGACGAGGCTGTGGAGAAATAGGAACACTTTTACACTGCTGGTAGGAGTGTAAATTAGTTCAACCATTGTAGAAGACAGTGTGGTGATTCCTTGAGGATCTAGTACCAGAAATACCATTTGACCCAGCAATCCCATCACTGGGTATATACCCAAAGCATTATAAATCATTCTACCATACAGACACATGTACACATGTGTTTATTGCAGCACTATTTACAATAGCAAAGACTTGGAACCAACCCAAATGCCCATCAATGATAGACTGGATAAAGAAAATGGGGCACATACACACCATGGAATACTATGCAGCCATAAAAAAGAATGAGATCATGTCCTTTGTAGGGACATGGATGAAGCTGGAAGCCATCATCCTCAGCAAACTAACACAGGAACAGAAAACCAAACACTGCATGTTCTCACTCATAAGAGGGAGCTGGAAGCCATCATTCCCAGCAAACTAACACAGGAACAGAAAACCAAACACTGCATGTTCTCACTCATAAGTGGTAGCTGAACAATGAGAACACATGGCCATAGGGAGGGGAACAACACATACTGGGGCCTGTCGGTGGGGTGGGGTGAGGAGGGAGGACATTAGGACAAATACCTAATGCATTTGGGGCTTAAAACCTAGATGACAGGTTGATAGGTGCAGCAAACCACCATGGCACATGTATACCTATGTAACAAACCTGCACATTCTGCACATGTGTACCTATGTAACAAACCTGCACATTCTGCACATGTGTACCTATGTAACAAACCTGCACATTCTGCACATGTATCCTGGAACTTAAAGTAAAATTTTAAAAATAATAATAATAAAATGGGTTTTGATTTATAAAAATCTTATCTACATATAGTAGTTTTTTAGTATACATGCTGCCGAAGAGAGCACCATATAGCTTTTTACCACATAAAGCAAGATATATCTCCCAACCTTTGCCTAAAGAAATGACTAGTAAGAGGAAAGCAACGCCCTCAGAATGCCACATGGTATACAGAAAAAACATTATCCAATCATGGGAACTCAAGAAAAAGTAATTCTAAAAAGAACGTTAGAAGTATGCCTGGTGATGATATAAGCAATTTCACATATAGGTCTATCAACAGGAATCTTTATGGCCCGTTTCTCATCTTGGCCAGGGTTTAGCACACAGTAGGCAGTGATTACAACGAAGCCACATATATGTGGATGGAAGCACAGACCACTGTATTATGCACACTTATACCCGACCCTCTTGCAGCAGCAGCGGAGAGAAGAAATAAGCAGTCTGGAATCAGACCTGCTCTAGCTTCATCTTATGCTAATTATATGAACTTACATACTGGTGCTTCACCTATTTCCTCATCCGTAAAATGGGGATAATACCAATCTCATGGGGCTGTTACAAGTCTTAAATGAGAGAAAGGTAAATCACCTAGCACAGTGCCCAACATGTAGTAGAAACTCAATAAATGCTACTAGCAACTTTCCTCTTCTTGGGTTGTCTTAGGCCTTCCTTCCTCAATACTGCCCTCCAGTGGACTAGGAGTCTCCTCCCACTATATAAGGTGGGTCCCACGTGAAAATCCAGTACAGGAAAATCTAAATTTCAAAAATAGGTAAAGTTTATTTTTCTCATTTACTAAAGAGGTTTTTGTAAAGTTTAGGCTAGAGGATATTTAAATTGTGATTCGATCTACATAAGTACAGCTGATTTGCAGTTTTTCAGGAGCTTGTTGCCTATCTAAATTTCCTATCTAAATCTAGCTCATTTTCCATCTAGATCTATTTTCCCTCCCCCACTGATTTCTCCCAAGAATTGGTGACCACCCTGACTTTCTTGTTCAACTCAGCCTTTTCCCTAGGCAATGTCCCCGTAGTTTTACTCACCCACACAGTTGTCACAGATGCTGCAATGGGAGGCCCGGGGAGGCCGGAAGATCTTGCATGTATAACAGTATTTCAGTTTCACAATCTGGTTGTTTATCTGGAAATTCTTGATACGAGGGGGTGGTCGCTGGCCCTGGGGCACCGCACCATTGGTAGCTTCTGTAAATCAATAAAGACAGCTAATATCACAGCTAGCCATTATTTCAGCCCAAAAGTCTCACCACCTCTCCAAACCCAATGGGGGCATTCAAAGGTTCCCTAAGCCTACTGTCTTCTCTAGGCAATCATTTACAGACTAGACACTCAACATCACAGAATATGCCCATAAAACTCCACTAAGTGTATGCAGTTCTGTGGTATACATATGAAAAAGTGTTTCTTCGAGACTTTTTTTCTGATTACAAACAAAAACATTCATTAAAAAAAATTGCTAAAAATACATTAAATGAAAACATCCAATTTCACTAATAATCAGAGAAATAAAAATTAAAGCACAAAGATACCATTTCTACCTATCATATTAAAAAGCAATACAAAGAACAAAAATACCCCATGTTAACAAGGGTGGGGAAAGGTCATTCTCATATCTTATCAGTGAGCAATATGGCAGCTGCTACTAAACTTTTTTTTTCTTTTAAGATGGAGTCTCGCTCTGTCGCCCAGGCTGGAGTGCAGTGGTGTGGTCTCAGTCTTGGCTCACTGCAACCACTGCCTCCTGGGTTCAAGTGATTCTCCTGCCTCAGCCTCCTGAGTAGCTGGGATCACAGGGGCCCACCACCATGCCTGGCTGATTTTTGTATTTTTAGTAGAGATGGGGTTGTATCACGTTGGTCAAGCTGGTCTCAAACTCCAGACCTCAAGTGATCCACCTGCCTCAGCCTCCCAAAGTGCTGGGATTACAGGCGTGAGCCACCATGCCCAGCCAGCTACCAAAGTTTTAAACATGTGTATTCATTTACTGACCGAGTCTACTTCTAGAAACTTATCAAAATTATAATGAGATATACGAAAGATGTTTGTATAAGAATATCTGTCACAGAGTTCCTTTTAATAGTGAAAAACTAAAAATAACTTCAATGTCACAATAGGAGGCTGGTTAAGTAAATTATGTTATGTGCATAGAATGGAATATTATGCAGCCATTAAAAATGATATAGATGAAAGAATGGTGAAAACAGGAAAATACAATATATGGCAAAATGAAAATAAATGTTAAAAAGCAATATGCAGAAAACAATACTATCTTGCAAACATAAAATATATGCATGTGAAAAGAAACGACTCGTAATACAAAAACAGTTATTGAAATAAAAGTAACACTTGCTTATTGTAAACATTTAGAAAAAAACAGAACAGGGCCAGGCACGGTGGCTCACGCCTGTAATCCCAGCACTTTGGGAGGCTGAGGCAGGCGGATCACCTGAGATCAGGAGTTCGACACCAGCTTGGCCAACATGGCGAAACCCCGTGTCTACTAAAAATACAAAAATTAGCCAGGCATGGTGGCACACGTCTGTAATCCCAGCTACTCTGGAGGATGAGGCAGGAGAATTGCCTGAACCTGGGAGGCAGCCTGGGTGACAGAGCGAGCGAGACTCCATCTCAAAATTTTTTTTTTTGGAAAAAACAGAAAGTATAAATAAGAAAACATAAATATCACTGACAGTCAGTCTCTCAGCTCAGAGATATTTATATTTTTTGGTGTATTTCCTTCTAATCTTCTATTAACAGGTAAACATTCATAATTTTTTTAAAAAATTGAGATAATATTATAAATGCAGTTTTGTACCGTGAAGTATTTACTTAATATTATATGCTGTGAACATTTTCTCACTGTTAATTTTTTTCTAAAACATAACTACTGGTAATATTCCCTCATATATGTGTCCTGTGATTTATTTAAATATTCCATATTGTTGGGATTTTTACTATTTAGCTGACGTTACATGTAAAAATTTAAAATATTACAGATAAAAGCTTAAATCCCCTTCGATCACCACCTCAATCCTAGTCCCCTCCTCCCTTCCAAGAACATATTCATGTGTTAAAATTAATTTCTAAAACAGAAAGAATAAAGAAAAGAATGTTGAAGTCTAAGCAGTAATACATGAAGTTGCCGGCATTAAAATAGCTACTCATATTTAAAAGAAAAGAAAAAACGATGCACTAAGAATCCTTCTACAGTAATTTGTAAAAATCTTTATCTCCTTTAGTTAAACCCTCAGAGAAGTAGAACTACTGGGTCAAAGGGTATGACCCTTTAAAGTACATATTACTTATTACCAAACTGCTTCCCAGACAGACCGTATGAATTTGCATGCCTGCCCATCCACAGCATATGAGAGTGCCTGTCTCACTGCACCCTCGCCATGCAGTATAATTCTAAAAACAGAATATTTTTCAATTCACTTTGATTTTAAAAATATCTGCCATATGGAACATTTTTCCTTTTTTTGTGGAGTGGGGTAGATGCTGTGAAATCAAACAATAACAGTGTGTCACAAGTCTTAAAAGGATGAGGACAGCTATTCATTAGAGGATAAGTACCAGCATGCCACCTTAATATTCTATGCATATGCTTTCCATGAGGGCACCTGGGAGACAGGGTTCATGGTTCACCTTCCCCGGGAGGCCGTATCAGGCAAGGGCATCACATGACTTCCTCTCTCCCCATCCCCCACCCACAGCATACCCAGTACAGGACTAAATACAAGATGACAAAAACTTCCTAACATAAACACACATATGAACTGAAAAATGTACTCTTCTACCGAGAGAAACATGCTAAATGCAGAGGCCGCGACGTGACAGCTTGAGTCTGAGCCCCAGGCCCAGTGATCGGGCAGAAAACAGATAACTTTGTTAACAATCTGCTGTGAGAGGCAAGAGACAAGTCAAGGTACTGCCTTGACCCTCAGTTACTCCATATGTGAATGGGAAGGGAACTGGAAAAGAATAACCCAGATGGAGAAAAAACAGCACTCACAACTCTTCCTCACCATCTTGCTCCTAATTACTCCTAGTTCTCTCGGGTCTCCCCAGAACTCCAGCTGTGCCAACACACGTCACCTCTGCTCTCTTCCCATTATCCCCACCCTCACCCCACCCCCAAATAGTTATAGCTCACATGTGCACAAACCCATTTCTCCTTAGCTCAACTAAAACAGGCTGGAATTTTTCAAAATGAAATCCATTAAGAAGCCTAAGGGAAAACACAGCTAAAATAAACAAAAGAAATACATGGGCCGGGCACAGTGGCTCACACCTATAATCCCAGAACTTTGGGAGGCCAAGGCCAGAGGATAACTTGAGGTCGGGAGTTCGAGACTAGCTTGGCCAATATGGTGAAACACTGTCTCTACTAAAAATACAAAAATTAGCTGGGAGTGGTGGTGGGCGCCCGTAATCTCAGCTACTCTGGAGACTGAGGCACGAGAATCACTTGAACCTGAGAGGTGGAGGTCGCAGTGAGCTGAGATCATGCCACTGCACTCCAGCGTGGGGGACAGAGTGAAACTGTGAAAAAAAAAAGAAGGAAGGAAAAAAAGGAAGGAAGGAAGGAAGGAAGGAAGGAAGGAAGGAAGGAAGGAAGGAAGGAAGGAGAGAGAAAAAGAAAAAAGAAATACATGGAAGCCTTCAAAGCACCCTCAAAGAACACAGATTGGTGCTCTACTGGCACAGCTTCTTAGTCTTACAAGTCCTGGGTCCCTTTTTCTTACTCCGTCTAGCTTGGATGCCAACTCAAGCTACCTGGGTACCAAACCTGAGAACCATTTAGGTAGGCACTGGTGGGCTCCCACTCCCTCCTAGTACTTGCATCATAGTCTTCTTCTCACTGTGAGATCCCAGGATATCTCCTCCTCTGGCCCTGGGATAGTTCTGCTTCAATTCATGAAGCCACCCTGGCTCCTAGATAATGTAGCACTTCATCTCTGTACCAAAGATCCTTATCCTGAGCTGCGGTCTGCACTCTATTGACCCTGCAATTGCTTCTTTAACCCCTCCTAGAATTCTCAGTGGTTCCTGGCGCCACAGTTGCCCCCTTTCACATTGCATGTTCCCCTAAAGCAGGGTTTTTTGTTTGTTTGTTTGTTTGTTTTTTGAGACGGAGTCTCGCTCTGTTGCCCAGGCTGGAGTGCAGTGGCACAGTCTAGACTCACTGCAACCTCCACCTCCCAGATTCAAATGATTCTCATGCCTCAGCCTCCCGAGTAGCTGGGATTACAGGCACACACCACCATGCCCGGCTAATTTCTGTATTTTTAGTAGAGACAGGGTTTCACCATGTTGGCCAGGCTGGTCTTGAACTCCTGACCTCAAGTGATCCACCCACCTCAGCCTCCCCAAGTGCTGGGATTATAGGTGTGAGCCACAGCGCCCGGCCTAAAGCAGGAATTCTTGGTTGGGGGGGGATAAATGTATGTGCTTCAGAAGATCTATGAATCCCTGAAATTACATCCAAAACTATGTACATGTACATGCATATAAGAGCATTTTTATGGGGAGAAGGTTTACAGCTTTCATCAAAAAACCAAAAGTGCCTCTTGAGCCACTTGCTCAAGCCCGCTCTCACTCTGTGGAGTGTACTTTTGTTTCAATAAATTTGTGCTAACCGGGTGTAGTGGCTCACACCTGTAATCCCAGCACTTTGGGAGACCAAGGCGGGCAGATCACAAGGTCAGGAGATCGAGACCATCCTGGTCAATGTGGTGAAACCCCATCTCTACTAAAAATACAAAAATTAGCTGGGTGTGGTGGCACGTGCCTGTAATCCCAGCTACTCGGGAGGCTGAGGCAGAAGAATCACTTGAACCTTGGAGTCAGAGCTTGCAGTGAGCCAAGATCATGCCACTGCACTTCAGCCTGGTAACAAAGCCAGACTCTGTCTCTAAATAAATAAATAAATAAATAAATAAAATGATAATAAATCTGTGCTTTCATTGCTTCAGAAAAAATGTGTTGGTGACCACCTCCCCCAGATAAGTAATAAAACCATCCTCTTGGGAACAATACAGCAGGACCTTGGTAACAAATCCTTCCGCAAATGTGACCCAATGCAGTGAAGGACAAAGTCTATTACTTTAGACTGTTGCTACACCTGCCTTACTAAATTCACAGAGTAGTCATGATCTCAGATTCAGGATCTCAGAGAGAAAAGGCTAGAAGTGATTATTATCTGCAACTACTATTATGATTCCATTCTTTTACTGATTAGGGCTACCCACTACACAGCAGCTTGCCAGCTGGTTGGGAGACTCACCTATCTCCATCTCTATGAAAGCTGCTTCATCTGGTAGCGCCCGAGGAATCACTCCAGGGTCACTGAAGCTGGTCCTCAACAGTGTAGCCATGGAGAAAAGGAAGAGCATGGCAGCAAACACAGGGATGGCCGGAGACAGCTGAACAGCCAGGTAGCGGCACCTGAAGAAAGCAGGTAATTCAACATTTAATGATACCTACCCTATATTGATCTCCAATTGTTACCAGTATGTCAATCTGGCCCCCACAACAGAATCAGCAGCACCTCAAGGGCAGGGACCATGTTTTTTCTCTTGATTTACCCAAAACTCCTGACATATGGCTCTACCCATAGTAAGAGCTCAACAAATAATTGACTGCTGCCACCTATAACATGCAGAAGACAGTCTTAAGGACACTCTCTTACCCCCAAGTCCAGTCTATCCTATCAGCCCACCGGGAGCTACATTTCCTCTACCTCAGGAAAGTTCACACCTGCTAAGAATAGGGAAGCAACTGAGCCTGGATTTCTAAGCAACACAGGTTGATCTCACTCTGGGAATGTCCAGGGCTTTTCATATCCACTGATCTGGCATTCAGGCTGAGCTTGATGAGGAGGGAGAAAAGATGAGAACCAACCAGAAAGCAGGTTCACAGTGTCAGAGAGTATCTCCGCATGCTTCAAGACCAATGAAAACCTTCAGGGCTGTTGACTGACTCTGTAACATCCATTCCTCTGGTCTCCTCAATTAGCTCAGCTAATAAGTGACTAATGACCATCAGCAAGAAAATAAGAAAATCGTTTCTCCTTAGTACCCCTCCCCAACATCATGTTCACTCCCCCCTTTCCTCATAATGCACCTGGCAAGCTATTTCTCCTTCTCTCTGAATATCCCAACTCTACTCATCTTTCAGGTGCCAGAGACATCAATATCATCATTGTCATCATTGCAACTATAATTTATTGACGGCTCTCCATAAGCCAGGCACTGTACTAAGCTCTTCATCTACATTATCCCATCCAGTTCTCACACTAAATCTATGAAATAGATTCTACTATACCCATCTGATACATGAAGAATCTGGGACTTAGAGAATTCTTACTTCCTCCAAAAGGCTTATGCTAAGCTGCAATAATCTCTCTCTTCTCTACTCCCTGTGGTCCTCACTTCCAGAGCCTTGCATTATTTCCTAGCTATTTCTCAGTATGTTGATGGCATCTCCCTCAACCGGACTTCCTAAGAGCAAGGACCTAGTTTTATTGGACTGGGAATGCTCGGGTTTGAATTATGGCTCTACCAGCTCCTAGCTGGGTGACTAAGTTAACTTCAGTCTCCTTATCCATAAAATGAGGATAGTAACAGTGCTTGATGAGGTCACTGTGTGGATCAAATGCACTAGTATAAAGTGCTTAGAACTGCACTTGACACACAGTAAATACTAAACACTAAGTAAAATGTTAGCTATTAACATTATCACCATGATTCCGTATCTCCCAGAGCTCTAATACAAGTAAGGGAACAAAGAAGCTATCAATAAATACTTGTTGATCTGAACTGAATTTCAAACAAAATAAATAGGAATATGTGAGGAGAGTTATCGCTGACCTATTTTTATCCTCCTCCTCCTGAGGCACATTTCTCCTTGAAAACAGAGTTTTCACTTGGAGGCAGACTATAAGTGGAGGAGCAAGGAGCAGAGGGAGAGCAGAGAAAGTAAGCTAAGAAAAACGCTTACCTCATCAGCATGAGAAGTAAGCAAGCTGCTGGCCATTCAAAGCAAACGTTTAACCCCGGTTATATATTCTCTGTAGCTTCCGAACAACCCCCATGAGGTCCTCCCCTAGCTCCCTGCCACACACACAACTGCATGGGGGGACACAAGCCAAGTTTTATATTAGGCTAAGCAGTTTTCAATGAAGGTGAACGTATGTACTGAACCTGGAGGATGATTTTAGTGACTTTTTTGTTTGCTTGCTTGCTTATTTTTAACAAAATCCTTCATCTTAGGTTGCTCTTTAATGATTTACTTCCTTCTCCTAAAAGCCAAGGGTTGGGGGGAAAATTGGAGAATTGAAGGATCTGGCAGCTGAGTTCAGGGTAATTAAGGTTCTTACATATCACTAGCTTGTGGATTACCTTATTTTCCACTACTCCTTTTCACTGGTACAGATTAACCAAAAAGGGAATTCAGAAGCGAAAATCACCTCCACTTATCAGGAACCCAAAGGATGCAGGAGAAGAATGAGGCTTCATTTCATGAACAAGCAAAGTGAAATCACCACACTAACAGCAAATAGGAATCTTCCTGGCCACTGCCCATCACTAAGATCATTCTTGAAAACAAAGAAGTAATGTCTCCAGGACTCAAACTGCCCTGGATGTATAATCTCCAATCAAAAGCCTTAAAAAATCAGATCTATCTGATTGGCCACCAAAGAGAGTTTAATTTTTTTATTAAAGGGAAAACATACAGAGTGAGTAGAACAGCAGCAAAAAATTCTAAATTAATGCTGCCCCGCTGCACAGAAGGACCCAAGCTTAACTAAGTCCAGTTCCAACACCTGCTTGTAGGCCAGACAAAGGACAACTTAGACTTGAACTACGCTACGCCATCAAGGATAAAGGTCTCTGTAATCTCCACACAGAGCATCTTCTGCACCTGCTAAAACAATCCACTCTGTATGTCAACAAGTACACAACAGGCCTATTGTATTGTTCTCCTCCAGAGATGAGGCTATTGGCAGCCAGTCATCTCTAGTGAGTGGGTGTGGCTGGGAAGCCAGATGTGGGACCAGCAGGCCTTTCTACTCTGAGTAAGGGGAAACTTCGAGCGCCAGCCACTACAACTATTGTGAACTGCAACCCATAGTGTTTGTCTTCAAAAGTTATGATAAAAAACCCACCAATACCCCTGGTGGGGGTATTTGGGAAGGGAGGATTGGGAAGATGTTTGTCAAAGGACATAAAATTTCAGTAAGGAAGAATAAGTTGAGATCTATTGCCCAGCATGAGGACTATAGTTAATAACGCTATATTGTATACCAGAAAATTGCTAGGAGAGTAGATTTTAAGCATTCCCAACATTAAAAAAATAAGTATGTAAGGTAATACATGTTAATTAGCTTGATTTAACTATTCCAAATGTATACATGTATCGAAACATCATATTGTATACCAGATATATATATATATATCCTTGTGTGTGTGTATATATATATCTTTATATATGTATATTTGTGTGTGTGTGTATATATATATCTTTATATATATATATATATTCAACTTTTGTCAATTTAAAAATACTTCAAAAATATCACCCTAGGCTAATCCCATAATTGCTATAAGCTGGAAGTCTGTCTCTGACAAAAATAAGCTATGTGAAAGTTTGGTGGTAATTCCCAATACAGACCTCCAAAGTCAGGAGTATCCTCAAACATCACTAACTTGTCTTAGATAAAGACTAGATCAGTCAAGCACGGTGGCTCACACCTGTAATCCCAGCACTTTGGGAGGCCAAGGTAGGTGGATCATCTGAGGTCAGGAGTTCAAGACCATTCTGGCCAACACGGCGAAACCCCGTCTCCACTAAAAATACAAAAATAAGGCCAGGCACGTTGGCTCACACCTATAATCCCAGCACTTTGGGAGTCCAAGGTAGGCAGATCACAAGGTCAGGAGATCAAGACCATCCTGGCCAACACGGTAAAACCCCATCTCTACTAAAAATACAAAAAATTAGCCGGGCGTGGTGTTGGGCACCTGTAGTCCCAGCTACTTGGGAGGCTGAGGCAGGAGAACAGCGTGAACCCAGGAGGTGGAGCTTGCAGTGAGTGGAGATTGTGCCACTGCACTCCAGCCTGGGCGACAGTGCAAGACTCCGTCTCAAAACTAAATAAATAAATAAATAAATAAATAAGCCGGGCATGGTGGCATGCGTCTGTAATCCCAGCTTACTCGGGAAGCTGAGCCAAGAGAATCGCTTGAACCCATGAGGCAGAGGTTGCAGTGAGCTGAGATTGCACCACTGCACTCCAGCCTGGTGACAGAGCAAGACTCCATCTCAAAAAAAAAAAAAAAAAGACTTAGATCAGATCTGTCATCCACAAATATAAACTAAGTGTTTTTGAAACTCCCTATATCACTCCTCGGAATAATAATATCCATATACTTCTTAAAACAGAACTCTCCTGTATTCAAAGTACCAAGAGGCCTTTCTCCTTCCTGGGGATTAGAATTCCTTTTCTCCCTTATGAATTTTATAAATGCAACCATGTTCCAACTAAGTCTTCATTTCTGCCACCTGAAGAGACATCATCATTTTAAGCCATCCTCTACTGACTCCTTGACTGTCCTCAGGCTACCATAGCTGGACTAGACAACTGGAATCCCACATGTCCCTTCAGGCGGCACGGTGGTACTGACCAGCAGTAACCATCAGTGCCAGGCTGGGCTCATGTGTCATGTCCCATCCCCCATCCCTAGCATGCTAGTTCACTGGAGGGATGATGGTAATGACACAGACTTCAATTCACATGAAAACACTCAGAAGAGATTCATGAGTAGAATGGGTAAGAATCTAGACAGAGAGCTATGCCTTACAGATTGGCAGCTTGGATTGGTGTTCTGTACAATACACTGCTTCTAAGTCTCCCTAATAGCTTTCTTGCTATGTTTTTTGGTTTGTTTGTTCTTTTATCAATGTAATCAGTCAGCCAACAAGTATTTGTTGGTTTAACAACTGAAGAACAAGGGAAATAGGAGTTAATTTTGTTGAGGAAAACATAACTGACATATGAAACAGCTAAAGAATAAGATGACTGATAATCAAGTGTTAGAATGGTGACTCAGCCTCTATGGGCTGTAAGTGGTCAGGGAAGAGCTCTGTAGGGGAGCTGCTGGCTGTTTGAAACTGCTCCAGTAGCAGCTGGTAAATATGGCTTTAAGGAGGAAGGCCCAAGGATCAGAGCCCCACGATACTCTTTGGTCACACATGAGAGAAATAAGCCTTTGCTATAATACCTCCCTGATATGGACGGCCATCTGTCCTCTTACTACCTACCTGCTACTGACTGAATGTCTATATCCCTGCAAAATTCATATGTTGAAATCTTAACATCCAATATGATGGATTATGGAGGTGGGGCCTTTGGGGGGTGATTAGGTCACCTAAGGCTCCACCCT